GTGGAACAGCTGCTGCATAGTGTTTATCCACAACTTCAATAAGCTTGTTAGCTATGGCACTTGCATACACAATTGAACCTTCACAAATCTGCCATAACAAATATCAAAACAGTTAAAGAAACTAAAACTAAAAATAAAAAAAAAAAATAAAAAAACTTCTATTCATAAAAGGACAAAAGTTCGAAAACCTTGGAGTTAAACAAGAAGCTGTAATAATCACCGATAAGTCCACCGGCAACATGATGTAAATCGAGTTGAAGCTCGTCTAAAACTTTAGACACGAAGAGCAGACAATTAATCCTCTTCTGTTGAACAACCTTAACCGTAACCTCGTCGTCTATGATCCGAACATCAACTTCAGTGTTCTTGGATTTCCTGTGAAGCCACGAACTTCGAAGGCCCGACCCGTTGCAAGGATGATCCATGTCGACAAGTGGCTTCGTATCATTCTCCGTATTGTTGTTATTATTATTGGCATGATCATGATTGTCTTCTGTTTTGAGCCTCTTGAGCCTTTCTCTAGCACACCTCTTTTTCTCCACAAGAAGCTTGAGCTCAGCCACTGATCTTTTCAGCTCGTTTATGTAGTCGATTGCGTCCCCGACAATAGAGGCTCGGTCGTTCTTGAATTGAATATTACAAGAGAAAAATGAAATAGTAGTTAATAAATGTAAAAGAAAAAGAAAATCAGTTTTAGGTTTGCACATGAAGAAAAAAAAAATAGAGATCCTTTCTTTCTGAAGAGGTGCATGAAGAAGAAGAAGAAGAAGAAGATCTCAAATAACAAATTAATTGATTACCTTAGTGGGATTAGCGACCAATTTTCTGAGAGCTTGATATTTGTCGTTCAAAAGCACCCTCCTGTGCCTCTCCGTCGCAAAATGCTTGGTGTCCCCTTTACTGTCTCGGTTTTTACCGAGACAATCCATCTCGCCGGCGGCGGCAAACTCAAAGACCCCATTTTCTCCGGCCGGGTAAAAAACCCCTCCACCGCCGCCCCCGATATCCCTCTCGTCCACCACCCCACCGAAGAAAGATCCGGCGCCTCCGGAGTGGAACAGATCCCTGAGCATCGGCGGCTGCGGCGGCAGATTCAGGGGCAGTGGGTCGTACGCGCCGCCGGGCCCCGATACGTCGGCCGTCGGGTTGTTGAGGTCACCCAGGAGCCCGAGCGAGGCCAGGAAGCTTGGGGATTTCCGGTGGGTCGGGCCGGAGAAGGTTGAGCAGAAGGACGGCGGAGGAGGTGGGAAAATGTTGAGCAGGTCGTGGTGTGCGGTGGAGGAGGCGGCGGCGAAGTGGCCGTTTTGGGGGTAGTCGGCGCCGAAGCCGCTCATCTCCTGCACGATCTGCTGGATCTCGGCGGTGCTGGCGGCGGTGGTGTAGCAGTGCTCCATCTCCACGGCGATCTGGTTCTGAAGCTCGATTTCCATGGCGGAGAGGGCGGCGGCCGCCGCCGCGGGTTCGTGCTGGTCGTGAATCGGGAAATTAGGGCTTTGGGATTGGGGAAATCCATCTCCTTGGTGCAAATTGCAGGTTTGATCGAAACCTGTGTTCTCTTCATACATATTTCTTTGGGCAATTTTTTGGCTTAAGTTTTTTATGAGCAAAATAAATGGTTTTGGTGGTTTTCTACTGTTTTTCACTTAGTCTGCTGTACTTCTTTTTTTTCCTCTGTAGTCAGTCTACTTTCTTTCTTTATCTGTGTACCTAAACAGAACTGTGAAAAAGAGGATAACTACAAGAATTCATAATTGAAAAGCATAGTACAATGCAGAGAAAAAAGAAAACAAA